TAGTAGCGTGGCAACTGTTGGATAATCGCGAGTTTTGGAGAAGTTGATACCTTACCTTGGCTTCGGCAACATGATCAACACGTAGGGGTGCGTTCCACCAGTCCTGGCCATGACAATGATTGGCTCATCGGCTTTGCGCGTATATGCGTGTACATATATAAAGATGGGATGCATTTTCAGTGTATCAATGCGTAACTAAGTCCACCCTCCTGGACATTGTGGTGGTAGAGGCTGATATGGACGGAGAGCGGGAAGTGCGGAGTTTTATTTTATACCCTACTAGTACTTCAAGCGTTGCTTTTTTCGGTCATTTTTTCTTTAGGACCGGTGGTATTGTTAATAATCGTGGCAACAAAGGCTGAGCGGGAGATAGGATTCGTTAATTTCGGCCTTCTGTTTACCATTCCACCGGTTCCGGAATTTATTTCCTTAAAAATTATTCTGGTTTTCCTCAGTGCATAGGTGAGGCAGCTCACCTTTATTTAATTCTGCTTTTGTTGTGCTACATGCTTATTTGGAACCCATGGCGTCAAGTACTTCTTCTTGGAGAAAGGTGGGAATAGCGGACCTTCTTTTTCACCTCAGAATTTTCAATGTGTATCGTTATTTTGCCTTAATACTCCCCCCTCGGTGGGTGCGTAAGGCAGTACTTTCTTTACGCATGTGGCAGCAAAGTGCGTATTCTGAGATGTTTCCTTCAGCCGTTGAGTCTAAATTTCACATTGCTTCCTTACATCAGTACTTTATTTTTAGTTCAGATGCATGGTGTGTTTGGCTGGACGTGGATTCCTCTATGCCTTCAAGGCAGTGGCGTTTGACTGCTGAATGGAAGACAAAACTGTGGAAGTTCGGCGTTCTTTATTCCATTTCTTCAGTGCCACAACAGGTAGGCATATGTAAGGCAGTTCCTTTGAAAATGCTGAAGGCAAAGTCTGAGTAGGCTATCCAAAAGTGAAGATGGGAGCTACTTTTTGCAGTCTTGCCATTGTTAACTTCTCTTAACATAAGGTACTGCTTGTCTGTAATACTAGTCCATCGCCGTAAGTGTTTCGTAGATACTGCCACAAAACCAGCCCCTCTTGTAGGCTGAATTATTGCCGTGATAATTCGTGGCTGTGTGTAAATGAATTCAGTGACTTTGTTGAATTACTTTGCTATTATTTTCAAAGGCGTTAGTTCATCTGCACTGAACGTGGCATCGTACTTCAAGGAGTCAGGGACTGCCTTATCTGAGGCGACTTGCAATTCACCTTCTAGAGATTGCGACTTACTTGAACGTGATTTTATTTTCCCATGTTGATGTAATAAATGCTATCAACAATATAATTGTC